ACTGAACCAGCTATATTACTTGTTGGCTTCTGCTTACAGTTAATCACAGTTAATCGGCTTTGAAAACACATATAGATTTTTTTTCTTATGTTGTCACGTTACAACAAATACATTTCAAAGTATAGATGTAAAGTTTATGTGATAAACACAGTGTATAATTGTGAAGTAGGCAGAGATGGATATGCCTTTCTCTAAAGAAAAAACATTGAAGTGTGGTATATAGATTTGTAATCATCCCTGATTAAATGCGTTTTAGAACCACATGTATTTACAAAAAGTCTTTGGATATGTGAATGTTTTGGCTATTCTTCTTTTTACAAAAGACAGTATATTAAATTAACCTTAATAATAAGCAGATGGTCTGATTTAGAGTTTTTGAGTGAAAGAAAAAAAATTAAGACAGCTGTTTATGTCAAAAAGCCGTACAGCAAAATCATTGTTTGTAGGCATTTTTCCTCTAAGGTAAATAAACTGGAAAAGCCGTTTTGATGTTCTCTAAAGCAAGCTGTGCTTCACTAATGGCTACAAAGGGTGTTTTAAAAGAACTTTTGTAGAATACTTTAATACTGTTATTTCCCCACAACTGATAGTAATTAGGAAATCTATTAAGAAGCTCAGTTCATATTACATATTTGCAATAGAAAAGTATTAAGCTTGTCTAAACTAATTTGTTTAAACATTAGTAGGTTAAAAATTACCCTATTAAATAATGGTGCTCCTGCATGGTATGGTTTATAGAATGTCCCAAACTACCAGGGTACAAAATTATGGAATGAACTCACCATAAACTCAAAGGTGGAGAGACGCAGTTAGGGAAATGTAATGTGTGTCTGTTCTATACGCCGATGGATTCTGAAGGTAACTGGTGTTACTGGATTTTATTGAAGGATGTAAGACTAAAGGGGGCCAAATATAAATTATAAATGCAGTTAAAAAAAAATCATCAATAAAAAGATATTACCGTACATATATTTATATATATATATATATATATATATATATATATATATATATATATATATATATATATATAAATATATATATAGTATGTTTTGTTCTTTTACCTTTAAGGTTGGAACATGAAAAATAAGACAACAAAAACCAGAGATATGACTACTGACCTCAACCAAATTGACCAGCTGTGCTGGTTTCTGCTTACTTGGAGTCCAGTGTCAATTTATGAATAATTTGGTACAATCTCAGAAGGCAATAAGGTTTAAAAAGGTTTGAACTTTTATATCATCCCCTATGTTGATGGGTTATTCTTGTATTAGAATGCTGCACTGAACTTTTTTTATTGCTACTTGAAATCCAATTATTTTTTCAGTTGCCTGTTTTTTACTCACTGTAACAGCAGAGATGAAACTTGAGAAACTTCAGCACAACAACAAAGATCAATCAGCTTGTAGAAATGCAATGTTCTGAGTTCTCTATGTCTAATTTTACGTCTGTCAACCCTCTCTTCAGCCAATCCCCTCCACTGTTGTTATATTGTCTGTAGTACATGCAATGAACAGAATGTAAAAGCAAAGCAAATACTCTGTAAATATGTTTATTAAACTGTTTGGGAGTATAGAGCATATCGTATAAAGTGCAGACTGGTCATAGCTGCATATTGTTAAACATGTTTTCTTTGTAGCGTGAATATGCTGTAAATGATGTCTTGAGTTTTACTGTAGATTATTGGTGAAATGAAATGACGAGTTTTACTGTAAGTTGCTGCACTGTGGGTGAACATTGCTGAATGGGTTGAGGCTTGATCTGACTGCACTGTCCAACAAAAATCTTTCGTTTTAAAGTCACTGATATAGACAAAAAAATTTAATTATTTACCGTTCAAACAATCCTCACTCTTTAAATGCAAATATACATATTTATATTGAACTATAAATGAAAATTTAGAGCAGTTTTATCCTCAAATAAATTTTGAGCTCATTTAATGTGAAAAAGGTAATTCTTATTTTAGGCGGTTCTTTTGCTCAATTCAAAAAGCATTGACTGCCCCCTTATGGTTATTCAAAACGTCACAATAATCCTATTCAAACCACTGAATCCCACGCTATCTAAACCCATATTTGCAGCTGAATACAGTTATAAAACCACGGCATCAATGCAGTTATGAACAGGCCTAAATCCACTATATGCAGTCAGCTCTGAGTTGATGTTATTAGTGACATGTAAAAATTATATTATCTTTAGTTCCACTGTGTAAAGAACATAAATAAGCTGCAAACTGAAGGTGTGAATCAGTTCACATCAGTTCAACTCACCAACAGCACACTGATTTGTAATGTCTCCCACATCCCTGCTAACTGCATAGAAGACAATCTTTACTGTCGCTTCTCCAGGTCAAGCACAGGGTTTCTAGATGCTGAGGAAAACCCCACACTGCACAGGAAAAACACTCCCTAATGCTAATCCATGATCCAAAGATATATATATATATATATATATATATATATATATATATATATATATATATATACTCTTTGTGGAGATATCTCATTGACTACAGTGAAAAAATTGTACTGACTACATTGTACAATTTGTGCCGCTGGCTAGCACCATTGACTTCTTAATAATACCCAGAAGTCCACTCTAAGAACATGCAAAGACCAATTAAAGATTTGGACCATTTGAGATATCATGGTGCAGTTTTAATCTAGAGTAAAGGGGGGCATGAACTTATGCTTATACCTGATCTATTTTGCTCATTTAGCAAGCCATTGTAAAAAAAAAGAAAGAAAAATCAATAAATAAAAAGATGATTAGAATGTTGGCACCAGAATCCCTTCTACCTCTCTTCTTTGTACATTGTGTTTTTTTATGCCACTTCATGTCGGATCATTCATCCTTTGATCCGTTTTCATGTTAAAAGAGAAACATGAAAATGCTTATCAACTATTTGTAACAACTTAATCCCTTTTATTTCTTTCTGAGATCTGAACATCCTTTAAATTGCCAACATCTCAGCTAAAAAGAAAACATGTCAGTTGATCTTTATCTCTTGTTTATTTAGGCATGCTCTGTAAAAGTTTAGATCTTACATTTAACGATGCAGAAATAGAATATTCATTCCATCAAGTTTCCTACTGTTTTAAAAGCAATACAAGCTCTTTTTCCATAGGCTTTGCATGGGGTGTTAGAAACCCTCAGGTGTCAGTGGTTACAAATGCTTTACAGCCACACATAAACACAAATGTATAAATTGTTTTACAAAGAAAATGTGTTGTGGATCATTTGTTAGTGTACTAATGACCTTGATGGTATTACAGAAGATGTGTACACTATTTATGTAAAAGAAAATGTAGGAAACATGCCTTTGTTAAGGAGAGTTTTACGATACCGAATAAAATTGTTTTATTTTTTTTTCCTGAATAATCATCAAAGCGCTGAGAGATGTGGACTTTTTTGTAGATGCATAAAAATAATAAAACAGACTAATAAGGTAAAAATTGGGAACATCTATGACAACATGGGATTTTTAAAATTTGACAAGAATGAGCAAAGCATCTAATTAAACAGTTTCAGTAACAGTATCCTGTTTATGGTAGCTCCGAATCTAAATGTTAATTTATCGAAATTCACTAGCCCAACTCCGTTATGCCCAACTGGGCTCTTGCTGTCAATTTGCATGTATCAGTCTGTGTCTAAGACCTGATCATAAACTCAACAGGACTTGAGGAAAAAAATAACAAAAAAATTGTTTCGCAGCATTATCTCCAGTGCATACTGTAGTTGGGGTCAAAATGAACTAGCATTAATAGCTTAACATTTTTTAAATAAGTTTTTACAATCATTTGTTTCAACAGCTCTTACTCTGAACACACTGCGAAAACGGCACTTACTTAAAAAAAGGTGCAAATTATGTCAGAATTATACATAGCCTATTGACCAATAGGTGATGTGATACAGTTGGTGCAAAAGGAAGTCTTAACTTCTGATTAGTGATCATGACTGATTGCACCCTTTTATATACTGAAGGCATCTACTTTTTAATTTATTTTAATGCATATTTAACCAAGAATGTGCTATTGAGATTACTAATCTCTTTTTCCAAGGAAGTTCAAGCCATCAAAGCAACACAGATTATTACAATCCAGTACATTACAATTTCATAATAATTTTAAAAGACTATTTAGAAACCATGGATCTCAACAAGAGTTTATGTGATAAGAGTTTAAAGGGGCCTATTGAAATCAGTTCCTCTAATTTCCAGTCTTTTTTGTAAATTGTTTCATGTTGTCGGGGAAGAATACTAACATACTATCTTGCCATTTTCTGTGCAGACATTTGTTGAAGATAGCAACAGTCCTTACCAATGTCTGGACAAAGCCCCCACCATCACTCTTATACAGTGATGAGAAATCTGTTAAATGCTTCAGAGGAGACCCAGTTTACATCAAGTTTAGCGTTGCCCATGTGGACAAGACAAATACTCCCTGGTTGCTACTTTCACAGCCAGTAGTAATGCTACATTTATCAAATTGAATAGAATAATAAAGTAGGACTACCACCACATTTTTTAACTTGGCCTCAAATTTGTAGCTATATGATTCAAATTTTGACCTCAACCACATGCTCCAGATGTAGAATGCTGCCAAAAATTAACAAAAAATATTTTAAAATATTTTCAATAATGGCTTCCCTTAAGTTCTGGCCTTAAGCTTATTAGAACATTTGTTAACTTTGATCATTTTTTTTTTTTGCTGCATTCATTTATCCCAAACATTCAACCTGAAATACCCCAGAAATGTGAGGCAAATCCATGCAGCATGATGCAACCCAACTTCTACATTCAAGATGGATACTTGCATCAACAGTAGTTAAACTTTCCTATTTTGACTGATTTTAGCAATTCTTATTGTAGCAATTCTCAGCATTAATCAAGTCATTGAGGTACTGTTTGTGTTAATAACACGGTGGGTTCCAAAGGTTTGCATAAGCCTAGAATTACATATAACACTTTCTTTTTCATTGAGTCTTGCACTAAATGCAAGTCATCATTTATCAAGCTGTGAGTGGGATAAGAAAGAGGAAATATATAACACTAAGTGTGAAAAAGCTATAAAAAAATAAAATAAAAAAATTGGATGCAGAGAGAGATAAGACACAAGTAGAACTTAGAATACACTATAAGTGTTGATGTTCATGCAAATAGCAAGCTGCCAAATTGAAGGCATGAGTAAAAACTGCCAGCAGATGGTGACAGCGTACAGCATGTCTGCTGATCACACACAATGGACAGATTGTCAATTTGGATACTGCAAATTGTAGCTTCTATCTAGTGCCTCTTCTTTCACCCATCATAGGGTCAACAGTGAGAGCACCATTGTGGGTAGGAAAATATATTTTTCTTCTTTTATCTGTTACCCATCAAAAACTTTTGCAAAAATTGGTCCAAATTATAAAAATGTATGAAAACAATACTAGTGTGTACCTTGTTTACTGAACTAAATACAACAGATCTATGAACTTTTAGGATTTATTAGACATCTCTATGGATCTACAAGTTAATTTTTTTTTTTTTACTCTGGATGTTTGAAAATTAATGAAAAGTTGTATAATACAAAATACACAAATTGTACTTGAAAATCTGCATATTTTGAATTATCTTAAATTAATCAACCTATCTTTAATAAATTAACATTGGGAGAAAGACACAATTAAAAGTTTCACCCTCAAAACAAAAATAAAATAATAATCTTACCATGCATTTAAGATGAGATTGATTTATTATGCTATTTTTTGGCACAAATCATTTCCTTATGTTAAAGAGGCAGTAAAAGGATTATTCGCTCCACAATATTGGCAAACTACCCAAATAAGCTTTCTTGTCACCTAAAGTAAGGCTATATTTCACACCTTTTCATCATCATCCACATCAAGCCTGAGTTACTCTGTCCTGACAACATGCATTAAGTGAGCGATGGGTTTAAGGGTTTTGTATTATTTCCTTAATGTCAGAGATTGTTGCCTGCTTTTTCTTTTTATTAGAACAGAGTCCTTAAATGTCAGCAAATAAAGTTAATTCAAAAAGGTACTAAAGTCCAAGACCAATATTTTGTACACTTTGTTCATTTAGTGTAAACCCAGCAGTTGATGCTAATGAGCAGACTTGTGTTTGTACCAAAAGCTAAATCCTGAGTATTGCAAGTGCTATATATGCAGTCATTAAACCGTCACATTACCAAGAGAATTGAAGATCATTTTAAATAAATACTTGAAACAAAAAAGGCAAAGGTAGTTTGAAATACATACAATACATCTATTGTGAATGAGTTGCAATACAAAAAAAAAAAAAAGAAATGCAAACATCTTTAGCTGCAGTGCCAACATTAAAATAATGCATAACAACCAAGATGGATGTTTTTAAATTAAAACACAGAAGACAGGCTGTATGTGACCCATAAGATAACACAAGTTTATCTTATTATAGTTATTTTTTAATGTGTGTGTCCCACTGTCAGGGATAACGGACTTTGTTTAACTCCTGAAGTAATCAGTTGGTGAACTCTTTATTTTAAAGCTTCAACTTACAAAAGACCAATATTGTTAACTTGGAAACTCCAGGTGGAAATGCCAAACTGACATCATTCAAAGGTGATTTGTTCGTTGTTTAGCAGCTATATACATGCCTTACACAAGGCTACTTGGTCCTTGATGTAGTCTCTGCAGGGGCAGATGCGATTAAGGGACTGGTCAGATCTGACACAGCTGTAGAGCAGAGGATCCAACTGGAACAGGCAATGATTACTGGTCCTGTTGTAGGCTGGGTACACAATGTGGCCATCAGAAAACTCTGATGTTTGACAAGCTATATCTTGGCTGCAAATGAAAACAGAAAAGTTTATTAAATAAATTATCATTCTTATTTTTCTTTACTTACTATTTCTTTAAAAAAAGAAATCAAATGACAGTGAAATTGTAACAGGACTAAGGTTATACTATTACTCACATATGCTAAGTTTCTGAAGCCCTTATTAAAATTTAAAAAATATATCAAAATAAATAGCTTTCGATCTGTAAATTCAAAATCAAGAATTATTCTAATATGCTTTCTCATAATCTGAACAGTTAAATATTAATATTCATCTTATGTATGAAACAGGTTAGTGCTGCTAAAATTCGGTTTGCTTTAAAAACATCAGGTTTGGAGAGCAAAACAGAGGTTTATTTAAACAGCTCGGATAAAGAGAATTAAACCAACAAAAACTGCTAAAAGGAACTGATGAAAATATCTTTGGCCTTTATTTAAAAGCAGCAGATAACAGTTCTTTTCAGACCTGATTTCAAGCAGCGACGCTTTCTGAATGTGTCAAGTTTCAACAAGTTTTTAGTAGTTGAAACTTGACAGGAGTAAGAGTATATGAAGTACATGAAGATAAACGCTGCCTCTACGCTCCGGAACAACGCTCTCTGATTACCTCAAGGGTCTTCAGAGTTCATACCTGACCAGCAATTCTGAGATATTTATTGTGTACACTAAATCCAAATGAAAAAAAAAAAATACAATTAAAAATAAAAACACTAAAGCCCCTTAGGTTACCGGTATGTTCCTGCATTTTTTCTTGTTTGGCGGTAAGTATGTCAGCCCCCCACAGCTACAGCTAACATTTACATGCAAAGAAAGATGGAGAAATATAGAACACTTCTTTTCTAAAAACAAAAAAAAGATTCCCTGTTACATCTAAAATTACATCTAAAACTCCTTAGTTAAGTGTTGAATTGGAACAAAAGTTGTAATCGCATCCATGTAAAATACTTTTAATCACTTAAACATATTTAAGAATGATTTAATCAAATCTATGTTGATGTTCATCTCACTAGGAGTGTGTGTTGTAAACGTCTGTTCACATACTCACTTGGCGAGAGTTTTAGCATTGTTTAGGTATGGAAAAAATGTAGGTTCGCAGATCAGCCCTGCCCTTCGACATGCCTGTTTACACGATGTACCTGCCTCTGCTACCACTACTTGGAGTGCACTCAGGGGAGGCCAGGGTATAGAAGGTGAGCAAAAGTCCTACAAGCAAATGGGGAGGAAAAATAAGATTTTTTAAATAAATATATCACATGATGCTCTGATTTACCACTATCCTAATCTTTTCAAACCTGCTTTTCAATTAAGACATTAACCCTCTGGAGCATTCCTTCACAGGTAAACTCATAGGGAAGGTAGGGCTTTACCTAGAACATACAAGTGTATTAAAGAGAATTATTTCAGTATGTTTTTCCAATCCAGTTTTTCAGGTTTGCATGGTAGACTTTAAGATACTCACAGTGCTGTTGAGAATCCCAGTGATAGCTCTCTCCACATCTAGGGCTCACCTATGTCTTCAGCATACGGGTGCTGAGAGGTCACCTTCAGAAATAAATCAACCAGAAAATATTCTAATTAATATTTGAATAAATTATTATTATTTTCTTACATTTTTTAAGGTGGTATATTAAAAAAAGTTCTTTAAATAACAGAAAAAAAGAAAATTACCTCTCTGATGGTGGGCTTTCCTTTGAAGAACTCAGTGTTTAGTCTGCTGTGTGGTGGTTTTAATCTGGGGTTCAGAAAAGCGCAGCCATTGGCTAAGGCTTCCAGAGGGGCGGGTCCTTCATATGGGAATGACAACCCAACAAAAACCTACAATACATTGTTAAAACAAACAAGCTTTATGAATTTTGTAAAGATTAGTTTGAAAACATGACATAATTCTTGGTTATGACCACATGGTGTCAGCAAACACCAGCAAAATGAGTATCAGGAGAATGCAAAACATTGCTTCCATTTATTTTTTTCATCTGCAGTAGAAATTTTCTCCAGCTGACGAAACAAAGGAAGATACAGATGCTTTTGCTAGTCATTTTGGTACCATATAATATGGCTGTCCAATAATAAATGTTAAAAAGGCAGGTTGAACCCTAGCCAGGTCATCAGTCCTTTATGAGTCCAAGCCCACACAAGACAAAAATAAAATCATGCAAAATGAAAGCCTAATGATAATTTTGGTCTCTGATCAATCAAACACGAATGCATTTAAACTGTCAGTCGAAACCATAGAAGATGCAAACTCCACAGAGAAAGACCCCAGTTTAGCTAGAACATATGTCTTTATTTAACTGTTGAGACCAATAAGGAGTTTGGACCAATTATATAATCTGTTCTCCAAGCAACATGTTCACTGCAACTAAAAGAAATAGTTTTGATAACCAATGGGAAAAATATAATTTATCTTTAAGCTTTCTTGGATATATTTCCTATATATATATATATATATATATATACGGTCAAAATATTTTAAATATGTTTGGACAGTTGCTCGCAATTTTTAAGCTTTGTTAAAGATGCTTGTCTTTTTCAAACGGTTTAGCTCCAGTTGATGAACATTGTGAGTATACATTTTTCTGCTGTTTATGTTTTTCTTTGACTTTCAAACAGCTGTCTATTCCACCAGCTTACATTAAAAGGGTTTAACAGCAGGGACAGCTTTATGGACTTTTCCCCTTCTAGTTGAGATTGGTAAAGGCCATATAAGCCTACAGTATTTGTATAGGTACATATCTCATAAAAGGGATTTTTATTTTATTTGATTTTATTTTAAGGCATCTCTATAGAAAACAATCCCAATCGTGCTTTAAGACATGCAGAGCAACAATGAGCCTCGTCAAGGTAACTAAAAAGTTAAACTAAGCTTCAACAATGGTAATGACAAATAAAAAAAGTTAAAACTTTCTCTGCTAAAACAATAATAATAATAAAAAAAGTATTAAAAACGTGAACTAAATCAGTCCACCTCTATGGCTCAGGGTCTGATGGTGGAACTAGCAAAGACTAAAAACATTTGCCTATCATTGCTTCAAGAGATGCAAAAACCTTGTATTACCTTCCATCAAACACTTACTTTGCTTTGTCTCAACAGAGTCTGCACATCAGTTCCTTTGATAATCCCATGGTTTATCACATAATTTGGAATCAGAGTACTGTTGTCAACTGTCGCATGGATTTCAAGGTACTTGTGAATAACATCCAGATAAGACTCTTTACCCTAAAACAACGGAAGGAACAATAGAAGCCTGATATACACAAAGCATAGTATACAAGGACTTATCTTATTAGACACTCTCATAATTCAAGCAGTTTCAGGTAATACCTGCCAAAATGTGGCACTCTTCCCATAAACAAGAGCCTGGTTTTTCTTCTGGGTGGAGCTCAGTTTCTTGTCGTCCTCCTGGTTTAACTGATGTTGCACCACAAAGCCGAGGAATGTGTTGTCTGGCGTATGAGCTGTTTGGACAAAGCAAGGACACAGACATCATTGTGGGAAATATACTACAAATAATGACGAGAGGCGATAAACCAAAATATCAGATTCAAGTTGTAAGGGTGAGAATCAGACGCATACGGAACATGGTGTAGAACTGCATGGGGAACATATCGAGGCTCCCAAACGGACTTTTAAGGTCGTATCTTTTAGCCCAGTCTGCATGATTGAAGTCTGGTTCAGTGCCAAAAGAGTCCAGCACACGGATTATACACCTGTCAGACACACAGACAGAAATGTTCGTCACAAAAAAAAATCCTATTTCATCTTTTATCAACCTATTTAAAGCATCTTAATGGATACACCTCATTATAGCTCCAAAATTAAACCAAAAACTGAAGAAAAAAAATTAAGCTTTCAACACCAAACTGTGAAGTGTGTGCTCTCCATCCATCTCTACTTACCTTTAGACAGAGCGGCTGAATTTGGTACAAACACCAAATTAGACCAGATGTTTTTTTTCTGTTTTTGTTTTTATTCAGAACATCCCATTCATCCTATAATATGCAAAAATAAATTTCTTAAACTATTACCTACCAAAAGGTTTCAACCCTACTAAAAATAAATGTGAACTGTTGATATATTTTTTGCATGCGTTTCTCTATGTCAGACATTAATGAATCTTTTAATTAAAACATTAAACATATATTTTTACCTGTGCAAGGTTATGTTTTTAGTTGAGTTTTTGTCCATCTGAGTACAGGATAACTTGAAAAGGTATGAATGGATTTTAATGAAATATCTACCAAAGCTGCACCTCAGTCTGCGGTACAAACCATAACATTTTGGTGATAATGTACATTATGATCCAGGTGCAGGATTTATTTAAAATGTTCTTTAACATTATTTGGCAGAACAAGCAGTTCCCCCCTTAACCACAGGGTGGCAGCAGTGACTATTGACAGCATCAGCATCTGACTCGAAAAAGTCCAGGTATAAAAAGATAGGCGTATCAATAGGTGTAGGTCACAATATGGGGTAAAAATCTGCTACTTGGTTTTAGTAGTATTGTTAGAATTTTGGTGATTTTCTTTTTTTTTAATTTCAAGAGCCAGTATATTCATCCATTGCAATTAATATAATCATTCTTATTAATTTTATACATAAATTTGTCTTTGAAGCGAAAAAAAAAAGGATATAGAAGTTTAAGGTCCTATTGATTAACTCCCTGTTCCAATACTGAAGCACGTTCAGATCCTTCAACTGCAGAATATTGGGATTCAAGCAGTATTTATTCCAGTGGTACAGTTTGTTTGAATATGATTTATTCAAAGGCCAAATTACAGCTGACTTCCTACAACCTTTAAGTTTCTAACCATGTTAAAAATAACTTAATTTGCAGAAGTGGAACTCATTAGGCTCGTATGTACATCTGTCATTATCATAAACCTTTTGTTATGTATTCACTTTGTATATACTCATAATAGAAGAGAAAAACTTATAGAAGTGCAAAAAGGTTACGTCACAGGATTAGTGGAGCTGAGCATTCCTTAGGCAGGCACTAGTTTTTAGGGAAACATTTTCCCAATCTATTCATTGAGCAGATTAAGGATGAGCACAACTTTAAATCCTTCTTCCACCCACACACTCCTTTTTTGATGAAAGGTTAGCCGTGTGCACAGAAAGGAAAGGGAACATCTGTTAAACCTGTAAAATGTTGAAACTCACCAAGGACATTCATACTGTGTGTGTGATGCAGAAGCTAACCTATTCTTTTTGTAAAATTGCCTTTACATCTCATTTTTTTTCAGATTTTCTCCAGATTCTTCTCTCCTTGCCTTTTTGTTTTACTTTATTCTAAAACCAGCATTTTTTCCTCTTCTTTTCAGTTCTTTTATCTCCACTGGGTGTTCCCATTGTTCCTTTTTTTTGCTAGATGTCTCATCATCTTGACACCCCCTTTTATACCCGAGATCCTTAGCTGACTTGAAATGTTATGGTATCAGACATCAGCTCCCTGTTATTCTCCTCTCAAAGGTGAAAATTTACACATCTCTCTGTTTGCAGACATTTTCAACAGTTTTGGCATCTAACCCTTTCAAATGAAAATTACCTGCAAATAAACACCCATATAGGAATGGACCCAATATTTATTTTGAGCTCATTTTGAATATCTCCATCTTTTTTTTTCATTGACATATTTCAGTGAAATATGACTCAGTTAATTTGATCTTGAATTAATCTAAACTTTAATTGTTCAAAGAAAAAAAATATTCAAAACGTGGCCAAACTGTTTTCTCTGTGGTTTGCTTTGTATGTATTAACTAAGGCCTATTACATTGCATTTGCATAGAATAACTAACATGTGAGTTTACATGCTGCATATTTAGATTTATGGCCTCTGAAGTCGCAGAAACATCTAATGATTTAGTAGTGTCCAAGACAATTGTTCTTATGATTGATTTTCAAAACGTAAATTTAAACCTTGTAATCACCTTTACTTTCGCACAAGTTGAAACAAATTCACAGCAGGACTCTGAGTCATGTTGTACTGAAAATGTGAAATGTACATCTACATGGAAAGAGTTGTGATTTCTGTAAAAGAATTGCATCATAATTGACTGGAGATTTTTACCTTTACAAAAACATACAGTTTCAGTAGTTTGGTTAAAATGACCAAAATTGATTACGTTGCCCATATAGGAAATGAGGTGAAGTCATTAAACACTGTTCAACTCCTACTGACCACTGAAAGAGCTTTAGACTAGGGCTAGGGTTATTGTTTAGTGTTATATCAATTATACTCAAACACAACAAAATACAAATTTAAAGTAGCAACTTAGGTTAATCTTACTGCAAACTTACTTTCTGAACTGGTTAAAATTAAGTTACTGATTAATTAAATAAATCATGACATGACTGACTCATCCTGCTGATGATTATTTGATCAATGATTACTTGATAAATTATTTTGACCAGCAGCACCAAGCTGCTGTTGTACCTTCCCCCTTAAATCCATTGGAAAGGTGTTTGTGCATAAAAGGAAATGCCAGAATAATTTAATCAATGCGGATAATTATTGTTGTACTCACTTGTATTTTATCCATGATGCTTTAAGTACAGACTGAATTTGTCTAAGACCAATTATATCCGTGTAGATCAGGTCTGCATCAATTTTTGGGTGTTGAGGGGGGCAGCCGCCTATCTGAATCCCAAAAAACCTAAAGAGAGCAAATATAGATGTAAAGCTGCACAGGTTTACGTATGATTGAAATGAAATTTGATCATTTTAAACAGACTGCAACATTACGATGGCCACATGTCTGCTTTTGGTTACAGATTTTCTTCTACAGAGGTCCGCAGATGAAAACTCACATCTTGAGGCTTGGTATGGAGGCCGACAGGTGAAGATGGTGACCCAAAACATGAAGTGCAGATATCAGGTCACTCCACTGAACCAGCTCCCCGAGTGGGCCTCCACTGAAAGCATTGTCTGCTATTTTCAGACCTGCTTCTTTCGTAAGCACACCAGGATGCACAAGTATCTGAAGAAATGGGTGGGTGGGGGTTAATGGATAGGAGAAAACTTTGAATTTCTGTCAATATCTCCCTAGATTCTGTTTTGTCTTTTCTGTCAAAATGAAAAAGCTTCCTGATCAAAGTGATGACTCATTGCAGACAGTGAGAACAGCTGTCCTTCCACATTAATTCTACAGCCCGACTTTTCTTGGAAGAAGGTTTTACTTTTGTACATATGAGTTTATTTTCTTAACTTGGGTGTAAGTGGGATAAAAAGGTTTTTTAAATGAAGGATGAAAGCATGTTTAAAAACAGCCTCATAGTACAGAACAAATGCTAAATTAACAATAAGTCTCTTTTAAAATAGCCGTTTATAAAACTGTACAACTTACAATTGCAAAATTATAGGAAAAAAAAAAATCTGTTTGCTAAAAGAAAATTAATTTCGCTAACATCATGACAGGCAGCTGCTAAAAAGGACTATTGAAGGCTCATTGAAGGCTCTAAAGATGCACTGCGGACGGAAGAAACCCGGTCATGAGAGTTGTCGTTTTAGGAAGACACCAGTATAAAACTCAAGAGACACAATATGGCATTAGATCTGCAGGAAAGTGATTTTACCACAAGTACCACATGCTTACAACCACACAGGTAAAAAAATAAATAAAATAAAAACAGAAAAGAACCACACAGCAGAAAATAAACCATAGAGGCATTAAAAAAATCCATCATTTCACAGGGAAAGAGTTTTTGTTTAACATAATAAAGTCTAACGTAAAGGAAAAGTTGCTGGCAGATGTTTCTGCATTCATGGCTCCAAGACTCTTGAGATAATTGAAAAAAATAAGAAATATGTTTTTGTACTCATATTACATTTCTTTTAATGAGTATTTCCTTTAGTATAGATAAGCAGGTGAATTATTTTTTGTCCTTTTAAATAATTTATTGCCAGAGATTCAAATTGTTTCATTTTCTATAACTGTGCAAAGTGAGAATGTATTTATTTTGTATTTAAACATGATCAGTGATTTATTACCTTATTTGGAATTTGATAATTTTATGTAAATTTTAAATTGTATTAATGATCATTTCACAGACAGTTTACATTAAATGACATGTGGTTTAAAAGAGAGCTATTAGTTGCCTTTTAATAGAAAGGTTGGTATATCCCATTAAGCTTTACAGGAGGACTTACAGCTTCAGGCTTCGGTTACCTTTTCCTTGCTCATATAGTTAAAGGTGAAATTCACAGAACAGATAAAAGGAAAAGTTGTTTTTTTTTTAGGCAAAGCAGTTCCAGAAAACTATTAGTGTTGAAGACAAAGACTTTAAAGGAATGCTTTAAGTTTTGATGCTTAATACATTTGTTAATGGCACATGGATTTATGTAGAGCAATAGCTCCAATGGAAAATTTACATCCATCTATGAGTAATTGGAATAGCTTCCATATTAATATCATTATTTAAGTAGTTTAATTGACCAATTCCCAATCTAGACCTAAGATAACAGCTATCAAGCACAGTTGCTGAAACCAGATACTGTGGGGCCGTTTTTTTCTTTTTCTTTTTGTTCAACCAGGGGTGGTGATGTATTGCATTTTATTCTTAAAGTACTGTAAGTTTTTTTTTTTTTTTTATCTACATCACCTTCAACACATAGATGGTAAAAACTTGGACCTACAGTGAGTGAGTCAGTGAGTGTGCCGAGAAGACAATGACAAAGTGATTATTAAATTAATAATTAAAGTCGTCTAACAATGTTCATGCATCAGGCCCCCTAAAAATATTTTGATTTTGATGATCTGAAACAGATTAATTAAAATTTACTTGGATGATTTCAATCCATAAGAATGATCAAATATTTAGACAGATTTAAGTCAAAAGCTTCATAATGGTGTCCAAAAGTGTGTGGTTGAGATGCAGTTAGCTAAAAAACAAAACCAAATATGATTTTGGGTGTTCATATTTTCATTTTCATGTCTGTTAAATTAAATTTATTAAAATCACACATTCAAACTAACGCATCTCCTCTGAATCTTTTGATTAATTTAAAGTCAGTTTAAATATTATTTTAATGACAACTAGAATAAAGATGAACATAAATACTGTTATGATTGAACATACATCTCTCAATGCAACTGTAAAGAGTAAGAATTAAATATAAAATTAAAATATGAATAGGTAGCAAAAAAACAATTTTCAATGCAAAATCAGACTTCCAACAATAAATTTAATTGCAGACAGAATTACGAATGTATACTTTTTATTTGTACCTGTTTAGCTCTCCGCTCTGTGAGGTTGTTTTTGGCTGAAAGAGATTGTCCCGCCTCCAACCAGATTTGTTCCATACTCTGAATTCTCTGCTTAATCCAAAGGAATTCGGTGTTGTTGTGCAAAGACTGGTGTAGACCTTCAAAATGTTTGCGCACCACTGCATGCTTTAATTCTGGCTGAGCAGAATGAAAAGAACAGTTAAACAGGTCATTAATTCAGTCACTTTCATTTCCATTTATATTTACATTTATTCACCACCAATACATTAACAAGTATAAATTACCCCAAATATCAATATTACCATTGAGTAAACCAGACCTCAAAAACAATCAATTTAAAATCTGAGAATCAGTTGTTTGTTTTGATAAGGATAGCTTCAATTTTTTTTTTTTCTGAATAGTTTGAGGTAAAAGTTATTTTTGCCTCCTAAATAAGGGGGGAAAAAATAGGGAAAAGAAAATACCTTCCAGCTCAGACTCACATTTCACTGAAATATGTTTTTTTTTGTTATTATTTTTTAGAGCACCTTTCTAACCAGTGAAATCTGTACAATCATTGATCAAATCCATGGACCAAAAATGCTTCCTGTAGTCATTGGCTTTTGTATTTACCTGTTTGGTTACTGAACTGACTGAAGGGACGACTCTGTGTGAAAGAACAGGACACCAGGACTCTATCTTAACATGACACACACACACACACAAACAAAAAAAAAACATTTACACAAGAAGACATTATTATTCTGAATTTTCATGCTAGGAGAAATAAATATACGTAATACCATTAAAATGTTACTCTTAGAATAGTGTTACATGAATCTTTAAATGTTTGTGCAATAAGATATTCATTTCTCTGGCCAAACAAGGCATCATTTCCTACACTATTGTTTCTAAGCATTTATTAAACACTGCTGGGTACCTCGCTCAGGTAGATGAGGAAAGAGCACAGAGATCCATTTACACCATAACTGCTGTAGCAAGGGTCTGTTTGCCACATGTCCTTCATCCACTGACGCCGCAGAAATCCACGGGGCAACAGAACACAGACATCAGTACATAGTATATCATTATTTAATATCAGTACATAATATTTTATGTATTCTTTTAATTAAAAACATTTGACTTGGATATTTGCAATTGCTATCACACATTTAAAATCGAAGCTTAATATCAATGTGCACTGCACAAGGGAAAATAATTAAATGGGAATGACTTTGAAACATGAAACAAAAGCTATCAGAATACTGAAATTATTATGCAGAACATGTAAACAGAATGCAATCATAAACTGGCATAAAAAGAATCTTACTCATTTACCTTGATTTTCCCCTTACAATCTGGAAACCCATCTAAAGGTGGCAGCGGGCAATATTTATCCTCTGAGATTTCATCCTCTAAGAAAAATGTAAGGGAAAATTTTCTTAACATTTCCTGGCTTTACATGTGGTGTGTTGAATTGGATGGTAGCCAGGGCATGGAATAAACTTTGATCAAACATTTATATACATACACATTATTGAATGTTTTGCATATTTTTTTTACAGTTTAGAAAGTGAGCACATGGTATTACATGGATAATTTACATGCAGACTAATTAAAGTTTTGTTCTCTTTCGGTTTGTCCCATGTACATCAAATAGTATCTAAATCTAATCCCAACAAAATCTATGACAGGCTGTTTAAAATTCCCACCATCAAATCTGACTGAGATTTAACCGTTTCATTAAGAAGCATTGGAACATTTTTCAGTCCCTAAATGTGCAGAGATAGTATAAGCATACAGTTTATGCCATCATGACTACCCAATAAATTGCACCTGTTTTGGTTGTTGAGCAAATGGAGCTTGAACATGTAAGAGTGTCATCAAGGCTTGCAGGGCAGTTAAACTTTCAGACAGACAAGAAAAAATGAGAAAACTGAAGCTTAAGGTTCAAGAAGGCCACAATTCTTTAGCCATGTTCTTTACATGGAGGTCATCAATGCAAATGCATAATGCAGTTAAAATCTGAGTTCCTTTTATCTGACATAAATCTTCACTCTTCAAAGACATTGTTAGGGACAGATTCACTCTAGTGAGCATCAAGACAGCAGATTCTTTAAACTCAGTGATTCACATATTTCAATAATTTAATCTGTAAATCACTTCCTGCTTAAAAAAAGAAATATCTTAATATCTTATCTGCACTTAAACGTATAGTAGAGGATTTTGGCGAATTTTTGAAAAGACTCACCTTATTCAATTTAAAATAAAAATGCACATGCATAATCCTGTACCTGCTCCCGAGAAGTAATTAAACGTGTGCAAGAGCGTGCACAAGCCCATTTTTCCTTGTGCACGTTCTGTTTAAAAGTTGATGCTTGCATCACTCATACATTCCACTTTCCATAAGAAGATTTGCAATTTTTCCACTATGTCAGACTCACCGGTAAATGAAAATGGGGACGAGCGCATAAGACAGCCTTACATAAACATATCACCAGAATGATTGACAATTAGGAGGACCATTTATTTTGATGATCCACCTGGAAAAATAACATCCTCCACTATACCTTTAAGTATAAATTCATATTACCTACTTTATTATTTTTGTTACCTGAAATCTGAAATTTAAATTAACAGCATGAAAGTTTGAATCCATGATGTCTAGAGAAAGGTTCTCCTCTTTTGAACCAGTAAAAATGTTTTCTCTGTGCATTTCATTTTTAAGTTAAACCTCACCGGCTTTGACTTGTTCTTTCTTCTCTTCCTTCATCAGCTGCAGCTTCAGGAGTTCCTCTAGTCGAGTCACTTCTTGCTGCAAATGAACTTTATCAGCATGCAGCTCCTTTATCATCTCATCCTTCATTTGACCTTTTGCCTTCTCTGCCTCCATTTTCTCCTGAACAGCTTTTATTTCCTCTTTGTAGCCTTTAAAACGCACCGACGAGGAGACTGGAAGAGAGAGGGTCATCCTTCTGCTTTAAAGTGGTGAAAAAGTGGCTGACATTTCTGAATAGCTCTTCATGCCCAAGTCCCAGTTCTCAGGCAGGAAATATTTCCAAGGCTAGGTGAAGACAAATCATCTTAATGATTCAGTCAAATCTATGAGATGCATCATCCTTTAGCTCATCATTTACCATCACCTTGTCAGAATGCTTGATATCAGAAACCGAGGGATAAATTGAGCTCCAAGAAATATAAGATTGTGTTTTTTGTAAAAAAAAAAAAAAATCATATTATTGCCTAAATATCCCATTTAAGAATAGTTCTTAAAATGTGTCTTTTATTGCAATGGCTCTTACGCCATTTTGATCCTCTTTTGCTTGAACTAGGCTCTTAATCTAGACACCCAAGTGTCAAGCTAGGTTCTTAAAAAGACTTAAAGGCAAATATGCACAAAATTAGGTAAAATAATAATAAAAGAAACATAGAATATCTAAATATCTTTAAAGCAGACATTTATTTGAAATTTTTTTGTTTCTTAGTAAAAAAGAATAATGAATGATTCAAGCTTTTTGAAAAGTTATCAGACCAATGTCCCCTTGATGATTTGCTCTTCTTTAAAAAACATTGCATCCAATGAAACCCAGTTTATTTATATGTTAGCCGCAAGACATTAAAATGTATTGCATGGGTGTTCTGCCATTGGAAAACAAAATCATATAGAGCTGACTTGTTTTTGCAAGCCCATTAGAGAGAAATCCATCATCATTACCTCAAAAAGACAGATGGTTGATGTCTCACTGGCTGCTTTTTGCATGCAGAGTCTATGATAACATTTGCATCAAATTTCCAACAACAATGTTGGCATAAAACTTGCAGTAAAGACATTTTATCCTGAAATAGATCTCTTACCTTTATCATCTGACTCAACAATGTCAAGTAGATCATCCACAAATGCCACAAAAATCTTCATCACATCTAAAATAGAAGGAAGACTTTCAGATTCAACAGATAAAATTTAACTTTAAAGCAAAATAAATACATATATGCATCATACATCTGAATGAACACATTTTGGACACCTGTGCATCACATAAGAGGGAATTTGTGTTCAAAAGCAAAATTTGAAGGGAGGCAATAGAAAAACAAAGCACAATTTGAATCAATGTGCACAGCCTTTTTCAGAAATGAACCAAACTAAGGTTATAACAGTACACAGCCAGGTTTGTCGTCAGAAAAAAACTCTACTGTTTTATTCCCTTGTTCTTTCTTACAAAGAGCTGTCGATTCTCTTGCGTCTAAGTGCCAGTCTAAAGGGGAGTAAGATGCCCTCAATGCAAATTGATCCACTTCCTAATAAGCACTTAAATATGCTTAATCAGTCTCCATTCATATGACCTCCTCTGTTGAATTGGGATAACTTCAAAGTAATGCAAGTAAGAGCTGAGTGCCTGAAAAACGCTCTATATTAATATGCTCCACTCCTGTTCTGTGTTCTCTAGTTGCCAGGAGGGAAAGTATTTTAGTTGTTTCGATTATTTTCTTCCTCAAGGAAGAGAATATGGTGTTGACACCACTGATTAACACCCTTTTTTTCTGTTCGTTTTTTCCAGCCTGACCCTTCTTATTATCTCACTGCTCCTTTCTCACCGTGGGCCTTGCTTGTTTCCAGCCACACTTTCCTGTTCTGCCTCAGTCTGCTGTCAGGAGTTGCACTGCTGCTCCTCTGGTCAACTTTTGTCTGAAAACCAAAAAAAAAAACATATTTCGGTAAATGTAAACTGAAAGCAAAAAAATAACCCACTTATTTTTATATATCCACTCTAAAAATTCATTATTGTACAGAACTATTTCTATACCCATATAAATGCTTTGATATCTTTGCTTATGTTTTGCAAACAACTTAGTTGTGCACTTCAATTTCAAATTTCTTTCACGGGTTTCCATTGGATTTAGAGCTGGGCTGTGAGTGGGGCATTGCAACACATGTATATGGTTTTTAGCTATGGGTGAATTTTTAGAATCATCTATTTACTGGAGGGCAGAGCACCAAGTCAGTTGGCTTTTGCAGCTTCCCTGAAAGTTTCTGCCAGGATGCAACTAAATCTTGCACCGCCCATCAGCTGCCCTGTTCCTGCTGTAGAGAAGCATCCCTACGGTGAAGCCTGGTGGTACCACTGAAACTTTCCTTGTTCTGTCGTATTTAATGTTCTACATACAAATCAAAAAGTTCCGTTTCCAGAGTTACTTTAGACCTGGGGTCTGCAATGTTTCATATTCAAATTGTCATTTTCCCCCAGCTCTGCTTGAGTAAACGTTTTTTAGAGCTGCAAAATATCAAATTACTTTTTAATAAAACACAACCAATTATTTTTGTCACATATTTGCCACTTGAAATCAGTTGCCATCTTAAACCCAAGAGTTTATTCGTACAGTGTGTTTAGCTTTTGAAATAAGGAAAAACAAAACAATTCATAAGGGGTAAGCATGGATTTCCTTTAATAGAGTATTATTTGATGTAAAAAATGATAAAAGCATAATTTCAAAGCTAATTTAAAGAAAGGTGGTTCTAAAAACATATTTCTAATGCTTTAAATGTTATTCTACTGCAAAAAAGCAATTCAAATATTCTTAATAAAAGCCACTGTGAATTTTTAGGACTGGTATTTATCACAGTACTTTAGGTAGTTCTTTATATTATTTTTTTTTTTAGCAACTATAAATAACCATTGTAAGAGGGGCCCAAAGAGCTATATGTGGCTCCGGAGCCTCAGGTTGCAGACCTCTGCTCTAGACCTTCTGACTTTGATTAACCCACCATCTTTCAGGCCCGTTACTTTAGCTGAACTGGTGTTAGGTTTGCCGTTTTGCTTTAATCAGCACATAAAAATATAATTGAAATTTCTTATTGTGGTTGTATATTTCTAATATGTGTCATGTGCTCTTACTCTGCAGACTTTACACTATTTTCACCTATTCTCATAATATTGCTATACAACTACTGAATTGACTACTGAAAGCAAGCATTCATAACTTCCTATTCTGATGGATCAGAATAAAAATGTCTGAGAGTATAAAGTCAGATTGAGGTTCTGTGTATAAAATACAATAGATGCATGAACAGAAGGGCTTTCTGCAGAAGTCCATTTCAGTTAATTCTCACACTACACTCATTAAATAGAATAAATAGAAACTGGTCAATGTTTTCTGATGCCTTAATTTTTTGGTTTAATTTTTTTTCTTCTTGAAACTAATGAAAACACATTTAAGATTGAAATATTACTTCAGACCACCAACACTTTACATTTATCGAAAAGTATGTTTAAAACCAGGAAAAAAAATCTCAAGTTAAAAATGTACTTTTAATATGATAAAAGAGGCTCTGCTAAACAGCTGTAAATTTAATGCATATGACCATGCCCACCACACTTTTATTATTAGTTTTTTCATCTGAAAAAAAAAAAAAAAAAAAAAAAAAAAAAAAAAGAAAAGCATGTATTCTTGTCTTTTCAATTATGGAGAATTTTGTTGTTCTGTCACAAGAAAATATATTAAAGTTTGCTGACAGATGTGAAGAAGGTGAAAGTGTGGAATTACTTCTGACAGTGTGGTGTATGAAATGGTTGGTTTTATGAATAAAAATACCCTTTATTTAAGAAAAACGGTTTCAGTCGACTACTCACAGCTGGAATAAATATCAACCCCACATTCAAGCATTCGACAATGCATTCTTAAAGGTGAACATGGGGTTTTAATAGCTTTGCTTTAGCCCAATTATAATCTCCCTAGTCTGGTTCAAATTGCTTTGCAGAGATGCTTTGAAGAGATCCTCACAGCCTTTAAAATCAATAACTGCAATAAGTACATTTATAGCATCTACAAGTAGATTTTAGCTGTGATGAATTATAAGTCCCCACCCCCAAAAGCCAGAGAAAATGGATAAAGATACATACCAGAATAAAATATGGCAGGATGAGACACCACAGGAAACAAATGCCCAGGAGCAAAAACACTGGTCTTTTCAGGAATTGCTTTTGTTTTCTCATGATTAAGAAGCTGCAAGTGATCTGCAAGTGAGAAATGTTAGTTCATGAAAAATACCCTGTAGATTAAATGTCATGTTTTCTAAAAATACAACTTTAGTACGGTTACTGTAAAGACATAAGTATGAGTGAACTGAGAAAAACTGTCAGATCTAAAAAGACTTTATAATAAAACATTTCTGCGGGTCAAATGACGTTAACCTTTATAATTAAAAGTGAAAAAAGGAGAAAATTAAAATGCCTGAAAACACAATTTTCACATGCAACACAATCAAGAACATGCACACAGTCAAAAAACGACATTATATACACATGGAATGAACTCATCTTCTATAGTGACCCTAATGAGTTATCCATCTTAAAAAGACTGCTTTAAGGAAGGAAAAACATATTTTGGAATCATATTTTTCATTAATTCAGACACAAAAAGTATTCTATTTGTAAAACATTGGAAAATAAGAACAGCCAATCTTTGCTCTTTATGCTAAGCTGGATGGGATCAATGTCAATAGGCAAATAACATTCCTATGGTCTTTTATTTTGCCATCTAGTAATAGATATAAAGTACTTAGAAACGGTTGTGTCAGGTTGATATGGTGTAAAACCAGAAAATTCAAAGAGAGGGTTTCTGCAGACCTCTGCTGCTTTCCTGGCATTGGGTTTGGAGTTTCTGCAACACTTTAAGTGTGGTAAGAACTCTATTGAGGTTAGTAAGAATTTAGAAGCGTGTGTGGAAAAATGTGGCGAGGGGTGCAACATGTACAGACGAGGGTACAAAACTTTTTTAGTCTCTAAAATAATCTATAATTTACCACAAGAGTGTTCCTCTGGGCCCACTACCCTGCATTTCCTAAATCTGTTGCTGCTCCTGCCAACCCATTACCTTCCCAGCATGCTATTAAGTTATTCAAAATCCTGTTAATAAACAATTAATTTAAATATCATGGTTTCATGATGATATATTGAGGAAAAAGATTTTGATCTGCAGTGCAACAGAACATCATTTGGAGACCTCTTTCTGTACTGGCTTCAATTAATAAGGTAATGTATTCCTACTGTAGGTTTAAAAAAACTCTAAGACAGAGCACAAAAATCTTAAAATTAAAACATTACCTTTCGCCATTAGTGTTACTCATTAGAAGCTCCCTTTAAAGAGCAAGACTTTACATGACTGCTTAACTTTTAAATTTTCGACTTTTAATTTTTAGATTTTTGACATCTGGGTGCATACCTGAGTATCAACTACAACATCCTATTGTTTTCAAAAACTTATGTTGATTTCAAAATCCTATTTCACTTTAAAAAGAAATCCAAGATGGATTATTCCATGGTGCTCTTGTAGTTGTTTTTAGCAGCGTTTCTCAGTCCTGGTTCCCAGGGCTCAGTGTCCTTCACCTTTTTCCCCCTCCTTTTCTCACACCTCAAACAAATGGTTAATTAAGGGGCTTCTGTATCACTTGAACATGCTGAGGGAAAAGGCAATCATTTGAATCAGCTGTGATGGTTAATGAACTTGAACCACAATTTCTCATACCTCTTATGTTAAATTGAGTTGCCAACATTTCAATGCTTCTGCTTGAAATCACTTGGATAAATGTATCCTTAAAGATTGGTTATGATATCTTTTTTTTTTTAATTTGGTTGCAGAACTTTTGTAATAAAAAAATTCTCCTGCATTGCTGCCTATTGATTCATTTTGGGGGGAAAAAATGGGAGTATGGTCAGAGGATATAATGAGGCCAAATCGCAGGATGAACCACCTGAGACCTGGCAGTCCACTCAGAAGCCACTTTAAGATCTGTCATAATCAGCTCCCCCACAGCTGTGTGCTGTCACACTGATAAACTAACGTTTGGCAGTGAGGTAGAGGAGATAATGAAGCAATATGGCTTGACAGATGATTGAATAAGACAACATTTATTTGTTGTGATCCTAAAATGGTAAGATATTCTTTGCAGTGGGGTTAGGAGCCTAAATATGACTGATTTTATTCAGGTATGGTGGAATGGATAAAAGATCATGTGAATGTCATCTAATGTAATAAAGAAAACTTAATTTAAATACTCTGGGAGACATAAAGTCCTTAACTGTCTTTAATACGCACTGCTAGATATAGTCCCACAGCCAAAAACCCTTAAAACACCTACCTTCAGAAGTTTTGTCAGCTCTTAAAACTCCATTGAAATTTGGCTGTGTGTTCAGTTTGTTTCAAAGTTTCATGATCCAGCTCCCTTTAAATCACAGAACAATGTTCAGGCAGTGTTTCTCAGGCGCAAACCTTCAGCACATGTTGCAAAAACCTGACACCGCTCTCTTGCTTCAGTTTTCTCACCTAACCAGCTTACAGTCACAAAACCAGTTTGTCTTCATAGCAGAAACTAGGTGGAAAACCTGCCATGTCAGCTTTAAGTGGCTTAAAGGCTGCTTTTAAATTTAAGGTGTTTTCTTTTTCCACACACTGCCTTACCAGATATATTCATATGTTTTTTGTGTGAAAAAGAAATGATTTGTCTGATGTTATTTTATGGCAAAGTAGAAATGCAATAAGAACCAAAGTGTTTTATGCATTTCATGCACCTGCTAAGTCTCTCCAGGAACAAAAGTTAATCCTGGATGAAGTTAATTATTAATTTTTAATGTACCTGCGTTAACTTCTTCAAGCTCAGGGTTCCAAAGGTCACCAGTTCAACCCAAAGGCTCTGTTCGAAAACCTAGGACGTGTCCTCCAAGGACGCGGTCTACCTAGACTGGATCCTTCGAAATCCTTGAAAATAAGGAGACCAGAAGAGTTTTGGCTGTGAATTCGACCAGTTCTACCCTTCGGCGGGTTTTACCATCGTATGCTCTGTTGCTTAGCAACCGTGAACGTTGACACACAAAGCAGGAAAAGAATAAATACAGAATTTTTTAAAACTGTTTATTTCTTTTTTATTGTGAAGTGAACAAAGACTACACTCACAAGAATCCAGAATGGAATAAATGTTCCATCCACCAGGAGCAGGAACAAATAAAATCAAATGTAATGATAGAAACCTTAGTCAGTTAAATAACCTGCTGCTGTCATTCTGCACATCTCTCATGTTGCTGCTCTTTTCAAATATCCATTACTGTAAAAATGTCCATAGCTGGATCTTGGTTATTTATTCCCCAGTTTTATATTGTTAAAACACTTTACACTATTTTATTGTTTATATTTTAACTCTTCCCTATTATGTTATTCTTATACATTTTTCTAAGGTCCACATTTTTGTGACCATTTTCAATAATCTTTCTGCTGCTGTAAATTTGCCCATTGTGGGAAAATAAAGGGATTTTCTATTCTATTCTATAAAAGGGGTAGAAAGATATAAGTAAATCTAAACAATATATTTACAAAAAATATATCTGCAAAATCTCTAATATTCAACAACAAAAAATACGTAGTAAAGCATATTGTGCAAAACAGCATTAAAAAGATAAAAATCCTATCAGATTTATAGTCTCCACCCTGCAAATATATTAGAATCTGTCCTTAAATTATAGCCAAACCCATTTACACAGTAACAGATAAAAACCATTAGATAAATCAAACATTACCGCCACATATCTGACTCAATAACCATTAAAACAACTATTTTCATTAATCTCAGACGGAACTATTAAATGACTTGTATTATATTAAACTGAACTTCCAATTTTCACCACTGTTCGGCGCCAAATAATCTTTCCTCTGTTCACGGCTTGCTTGGTCTCACAATGAATCCTGGGATATCCAAGAATACCGAGGATACATCAGAGCCGTCCTTCAAATCGGGCAAAAAGAAGGATGCGTTTTAAGGCCGCATAACGAGGACTCTTGGAATCCGACCAGACCTCGGCACCGCGCTATGACGTAATCGGCCTTCGAATCCGGTCTTCTAAGGATGCGTCCTAGGTTTTCGAACAGAGCAAAAGTCTCACAATAGTCTAAACAGACAAACCAAAGAAATATCTATTTTATGTTCTAAACAGAAGGAGGAAGCAAGAGCATCTAGAAAGACTTAGAAGAGAATATGGATTGAAAGCTAAGTTGTGAAGCACACTGACCAAATCAGATTTGATCTGTTCTCTATATTACTTGAGTTCATATTATAAAGTCAGAAACAGCTAAAACAATGCGTCACACGTCGGTTTAGCTTTCAAATAATGCTCCAGCTGTATATCTGATGTTGGTTTATTTTGAAAGCTAACATTGGTTTGAATTAATTTTTGCATAACTTAAAAGTCATGCAAAAATAACAGCTAACTTCTGTACTGTCTCAATTAGCTAATTTGTAAAATGTTTTTAAACATGGTGGCAGCTCGGATTGCTCTGGCATTGTGCAGTTTCAGATCTCACGTGTGCATTAATCATAAACTAGTGGCTTTTTACAAGATTTTCTCTCACCAGATTCCCTTTTGTAGTCACACTGAAGTTTTAAATCGGTTCAGTGTGTCACTTTTCCACGCCCCGTTCACATAGTTTGTTCATGGATATTGACCAACATGTGGCCTTTTTTTAAGTTTGTTGGCTGAAGTACTGGGAATAACCTGGCGATGGTAACACCACTCCCCTACAGATGCAATCCTGCAACTTCCATTTTCCAGCACCATTGAATGTAATGGCTGAATTCCCTCATCATGATAATTAAGCTCCTCACAAGCCTTGTAATGAGCCATTCATCTATTCTCATGTGCTCAAGTAAGGATATGTTTTAAAGTTACAGGATGAAAGAAAGGAGTTTGGCTCTAGTGTGTGTTGAAGGTGATCTGTTTCTAATGCTTCTGAGGGTTTAAGGCACCAACTACAAAAAATAAAACTGTGCAGTTTTCAAAAGGAGTTCTAGAAACATGGCTGAAGGTTGGGGAAAGATTTATCTACAATACAGTTTAATGTCTACCTAACTTATCTTACTAACCCTCCCCATGATTTCCACAAAACTATTGACTGGTCTCTGAATTTCCCATTATTGTTTACATATGCTTTTTGTCTTGTATTGAACATTAGTGTATTAACTGCTTTAGTCTGGGTCTACAGTTGTGTAAGTTAAACTAAGCGTAGGGATCTATAAGTTAAAAAAAAAGGAAAGTTACGTTTTTGAATTTTTTTTCATCATGAAACTACTTGAGGAAAAACCTTTTTTTTTTATTCATGGAGGTGAGAAACAAGTCAATGCATTTATTAGTAGAGCTGAATCTTTGTTAAAGAATAGCACAAATAATCGTGAAATTTCAAAAGAGGCAGTCTTGTAGAATGGGGCAAAGCAATTCAAATTTGGCCAATCGTTCTGACCCTTTTATTGGGGGGGGGACAATCCTAGTAATACATTAGGATGAACAGACAACCTCTAATAGAGGCTCTACTAATAAACCATTCACTGAGGCTGCTCAGTATATTTTCTATACATCTTTTAAACGAAGATGTTTTCTTGTTTTATCTCACAGACTGAAAGCATTTTTAAAAAGCACAGAGGAATATCTTACTTTTTAGCTCTTTCATAAATTGCAAACGTTCAGCTTTCAGGAGATACTTTCATGCAGCTTAAGTGGCTTATAATGAAGCAAAAGCAGCAAAGAAACGAGCATTAAATGCCAGCTGAAGAGTCAAATGCAAAGTGATGTTTATTGGCATCCTTGTTTACCTGAGCACTATAATATTTAGGCACAGAGTCTTAAATCAAGAAATAGCTTTAAATAAGTTTTAATTTTTGTAGGTTTTTTGAGGCATATTAGTGGTAAACTGTGGTGAGGCTTAGTTTTTTGTTACTGTGGCACAAAAAAACAGTTTACAATATGCTTTTTTTTATATACATTTTATCATTGCTTGCTTATTTGTTAATAATCAAGCTTTGAGTGGTTGAAAACTGAAAACATTGCTCCTCATCCTCTGTTGTACGGTTAAGTTCAGGCCTGCTGTTCAGGCAATAATACAGTTAAAGTGATGCAATACTGCTTTCAATGCACGGATTGATCCAAAGCACATTAACAGTGGCAGAACTGCAGGAGGTGCTTTCAGAGGCTATTTTTCTTCTTTTTCCCTCCTTTTCTTGTTCGCAGCATTCAGTAAAACTGTCACGACTACATCAGAGTTCAATGGAAATCTTTGGGTTATTTTCCCCGAGGGTTTGATGACTAATTACAGGAACCGAATATGGATGTCATTCATTGTCATAACAATGGCTGGAGAAAAACAGACCAAATATAAATTCTGGCCCTGGCATTAGTTTGTACTTATGATTAAACATTTACAAAGTGTATTTCTTATAACTAAGCATTTAAAACCATTATGCATTATATTTTGTTCCTGAAAAGAATATAATTCTAAAATCGTTTTTGGATACAAGATGTTAATTGTCATTTATACTGGTAAAAATATGCTAACACTTTAAAGGAATAGTACTATTCCTTTAATATAATGTACATAAGGGTCTGAAAACAAGCTAGTTTTTAGATAAGAACAAACACAAGCTTTATAGAAAATAAACATGATTTCATATCTAAATCTTTTATTGAATTTTATTCTTAATGATTGTTCTAGTAGTAGGTAGAATGTGAGAGTAGGATCAATTTGATTTTATTTCTCTTAATGCTGAAAGGTAAACCTAATTAGTTGTATTATTGCTGACTGGTTCTCAATGTGCTTAAGGCGATTTCGGTTAAACATTGATTGCTGCATCTTTAATAATAAAAAAAGCACTGAGAAAAACAAAACAGATTTTTTAGGTTTTACTCAACTGGGGATCAGGATTTAAAACATCTGGCTCAGAGGTATAATGTAACAGAGCCTGTCTATAAAAGAGAGGTTTTGAATTTAAGCCCAACTTAAAGCAATCTTATTTTACATTCATATTAATCTTAGTAGATGATTTAACCCTTTCTGTAGTTTGCATATATTAAGCCTAAAAAAGGTGACTGTTGTGGAGTTAAGTTTGAAATGGGAAACAGATTTTAAAAGGAAAGACAAAACAGAAAAGTTTTGCACATCTGCGTGTCCACAGATGTGCTTGGACAAGTCTATATCTTTTGAAGAAAGTCTTGGTCTTCTCTGTTTAGTTTTTATCTTACAAAAATGTCTATTTTTTGTATTAAATGTGTTTAATTCATGCAATGCTTGTAAGGAATTTGTAGAGTATTGTTGCTTGAGTCTAACCTCCAACCAACATTGTTAACTTAAGTAGGTTTTTTTAAGGTGTTTTTAAACTATGCTAAATTTATTTTAAGAGTATTACCACCATAAACAGAATCTCAATACTGGGTAGTCTGATTCTGAGAAAGGCGACCA